AAGGCCGCACGGTGCATGTGCAGGGGGGCATTCCCAAGGTCCCCACGCCCATTTGCTGGGCGAATTTGCATGGCGCACGTGCGAGGGGATGTTCCCAAGGCCCAGGGAAGGCCCCCACACCCGTGCGCGGGGCAAATTCACACGGCACACGCGTTGGGAGCATTCCAAAATGGTGCTCCCCACGCATATACGCATGTGCACAACGGTGGGGTGTCGTGTGCATGCACGCGCAGGGGAAGCATGCACAAGCGAACACACACCCACCCGGCCCCCGCACCATTCCCCCCCCTCCTGGCACCCCAGCAACAAAGGTTGCCGACCCCTGATATAGAGGATGATGGTAAAGTGTGGCTTTATTGTTCAAGAGCATCTGTACCACTGTGTGATGTCCATAATATAAAACCATTTTGTCCCAGAGGACCTCAAATTTGATATGATGAAATTTATAACTGTTGAAAGTTACATGAAGGAATTTTATTTCCATCAAATCATACATGATTCAGGAGGCCACAATGACAACATCTCTGGACCATATTTGCTTTTTAAGAGTGCCCATCTTGGGCTGGACTAACTACTGTATTAAATGTCCACACAACTGACCTCAGTCAAAGTTCAGTAGTTAAGTTCAGTTAAGTCCAGTGCCTCTTTGAAAAACAATGACAATATCCATCGAGTTGTTGGTGCCACTTCTGATCGCCAACTAATCAAGATAAACACTGATTGTGGTTTACTTACACTTTTTACCAAGGGTTCTTGAAATTCATTTTTTTTAAAAACCATTTAATGTGTTGTGAAAAAAGTGTGCTCAGCCACCACTAGTTCATACATCAAACAGGTTCACTGAGCTGAAACTTTTTTTACTTGTACACTAAGAGCCAGAAAAAAGTGATTCTTTGGAAACCTATGGGTTGTTTAATCTAGTATTGGTTAAGACAGTTTTCTAACTACAGAGCAGAGTGGATATTCTGTAGTTTGAAAAAGCTCTTAAAGATCTCCATGCAGGAAATTCAAATCAGCCTGCATACTGAACTTATGCAACTTAGTCCATTTTTCCAAATAATTTGTACCAATTTTTCTGATCTTCTGGTCATGGAAAGCTAATGAGATGTTTAGGAGGGTCCAACATACTTAAGCTTAAGGGGTTTAATAGCATCAGACAGTAAACATTTATTATGTAAAATCTTTTAAAATGTTCCCACCCACCCGTATGTATTCCTTTTTAAGACCCTCAATAATCCCAACCCCTAAATTTGTGTGTAAATCTGGCACTATATTTAGGAAACAGATATAACCCCCATGTCCAAGTGGTGGTTCATATAATTGATTTTTATACTTGAGATCAGGTATCACAGCATTCTTGGATACTCTTCGGCAGCTTCTGAGGGTAGTACCAACAAGTATGAAACACACACACACACATATATATATATATTGGACTATAAAGGGTGTTTATAATAATAATAATAATACAGTTTATTTCTATACCGCCCCTCTGGCGAACCAATCGAGGCGGTGCACAACAATTAAATTATAACAAATGAGCAATATAATACAACAAATTAAACAATGTCAACAACAATATATAAACAAATTAAACAAGTTAAACAATATACATTACAGAATTATAAGCAACAAAATCAAACAGAATCAATGACAATAATAAATGCATAATACATAATAGGGCCGAGTAATAACAGTAATAAAATATACAATTTTAACATACATAAATTGTATGTTAACATACATAAAATAGGCGCCGCGCTTCCGGAGTCAGGTGGAGGGTGTTGGCCCTGCAGGGCAGATGGCAAGTCTCTCCCCCACGCCGGCCGGCAAGAAAGGCTCTTATACTGAGAAAGGCTCAATGGGGGCCAATTTCAAGGCCCAGTTGGTCCCGCCTACATCTGGTGCTCCGCGCCGCCGGCAAGCTGGTGTCTGGGGGGGGGTTGGGACACAATCCTCTCCTCCGCCGTGCTGGTGCTCCAGCCAGCGCGCGCGGGGGTGTGGCGTCTCTCAGGGCTACAGCTGCTCTCCCTGGCAAGATGGAAAGTCCACGCCCTTAAAGGGCTCCTTCGCCCGCTGCATTGTGCTGGTGGAGGATGGTATCTGTCAGCCTTTTAAAACTGTTTAAACTGTTTGTACTTCCACTTTATCTGAAGATGCTCACATAGCAATGTTTTAGAACTGTTAAGGTAGCTTGATTTCCTTAGAACCAGGAAACCTACCAGTGTATTTCAGTGACAAGCCATTTTATATTTCTTGATTGAGAAAACTGTGAAATTCATAAGTCAACAGATAACTGGAAGGCACACACACACACACACACACATTCACAATAACTACCATATCCTGTGTCATAGAGTCTATGTACAGAAGTAAATTTTAACATTTGTATTTTCAAAGGAAGGGATTTGGAAATCCATTCTGTCATATACTTGGGACCTGATCAGACTGCCAGAAATAATCCAGTTTGAGGTCACTTTAACTGTCCTAGCTCAATGCATGGGAATTGGTTGTTTTTTTTCTGAGACATTGAACTTTCTCTGTCAGAGAGCTCTGGTGCCATAATAAACTACAATTCCCATGATTTCTTAGCACTGAGCCAGGGCAGTTAAAGTGGTCTCAAGCTGGATTATTTCTGGCAGTCTGTTCAGTGTGTTTGTGTGTGTGTGTGTGTTTGCTAAAAAGCTGGAGTATGAGCTGCAGAAAGAACTGAATGTAGTGGTTTGTTGGTACTTGCTCTGTTCTAGAAAAAAACATAAAATTGGACTTTTAAATTGATCATATGTCCTCTTGAACATTTCCTGTCCAATTTTATATTGCTGTTGAAGAACTTCAAAGGAGCTGAGATTAAATGAAACTACATGCTTTGTCTGATATTGTGTCCTAGATAAATTTCTAGAGTATGGATGTTTAAGTTGCACTTTTTTCTTAGTTTTGAAATTGAGATGTACAAAACAAATATTAGACTTAGGGGCTGTACAGATGGGAAAAAGAGGTGCTTTCAGGCTGACTTTGAGGTGTGGCATTTAGATGACACATGCCTAAAAGCCGTCAGGAATGTGCCCTCTAGGCAATGCATGCTGGGAAAACCCAGTCCAAAAAGGAGCAGCCTTTCCCTGCTCCTTTTGGAAAGATGTGCACCTTCACTTGTGTGTATGCATGCAGCGACGCTGGTGCATCAGAAAAAGGGTGCTGAAGATTTAAGGTGTCCAATTCAGAAAGAAGTGAGATATTCTGTGTTCTTCTCTGGAGACAATATAAACAAGGAGGCAACAAACTGTAGATTTGAGGCAGAATGCACCCCCAGACTAATTTTATAACCTGACCCCTCTGAACCACCCTTTAGAAGTGGAAGGCGGGTTACATTCAAGAACAACAATTTGCCTTTCCAAATAGATTGTTGGAATCTCAGAAAATTTACATATTTTACATGTTTTACATAAACGGAAGTACCATATTACTTTCTTCCTCCCTCCATTTTTTGATGTTTGGGGAAGTCCATACTACTCCTTTAGGGTCTCTGGGCGAAAACTGGTCTTATTTTCACCAGAGTCACTCACTTCTGGTTTAAAATATGCTTAAATCTAATGAAAGCCATTTTTAGAAGTACATTCTAAGTTCGTATTACATGATAGATGAAGTGCTGGGTATTAAATAGATTTTTCAAACTTTTATGTATTTTATTTGTCGGGGCATTATAGTGGGGGGGAGCTAATGGGCTTGGCTTGATTAATGATATTTGAGGAAATACAAAAGAAGCATGCTAGTAAAGTGCAAGTAAGGGTTCCTAGATAATGAAGTGTAATATGGCTCTCTTTTCAACTGGCTTCAAAAGAATAATCACTAGACTCTGGAACAGCAAAAAGCAAGACTGCCCTATTTTCTACATGTCATCCCTTCAATTAATAGGGGTATAATTCTTCACTATTTTTTTTTACAATGGAAGAAATGAATAATTATAGCAATTTGCAAAAACAATGTAGTTTTTAAAGCCTATTCACAATTTGGAATGCATTCTGTGCAAAATTTGTATGCAGTTGTTTTGTGCAGAAAGCAGCCTATTCTACATAAGAAACAATATTTTCTATTCAGAAAATACTATTTCTAAGCTATTTCCTACACAGAAAATGCTGTTTTGTCTGCAAACCAACAATGTGACAATGTAACACAGAATAAGTTCCTAATAACAGCATTTTCTGTAAAGGAAATAGTTCTCTCTGTGCAGAAAATAATATAATTTATTTATTTCTGTGCATGGAAATACTGTTTTCTGTATGGAAAATGCTGTTTCTTGCAAAGAAAAATTATGTTTTATACATAGAACAATCTAATTTTGTGCAGACCAAGTCCTGAACTGAAAAAATGATCAGTTCAAGATTCTTCTCATCAGAGTTTCTTAACACATAAGACACTGTTTTTCTACTATTTTTTTCAAATATTTCTTAATATTCTTTTCATTCCTATCAAACAGTTAATGATGTATTTTAGTCTTCTTTATTATAAATGGACCATGCTTGTGATTAACTCTAATGCCTGTAACTGGCATCAGCTGAAACCAAAGTGCTTGAATGTCCATACTTGATCAAATCTTGCAAGTGGAAACCTATTTTCTTAACAGAATAATGATAATGAAAATGATAATGATAGAAAGGTATGGGCTTGAATAAGCAGCCTAAGCCAGTGGCTGCTAGGATGAGAAATGCCTGCAGTGGCAGCTAATGGTTTCCATAACAGTGTGGTGGTAAATCTGCTCTGGGTTTTAGTTTGAACTTAAGCTATCCAAAGTACAGAACCAATTTGGACATAGAGTTTAGTACTTTGAATACTTTGTTTATATTCCAGCAGATTCAGAACATCCACCTACCAAGACGTCATTAGCTGGTTGGTTTCTCTCAAATCCAGTTTCTCTTCTGGATGATCTGAGAGGGGTAACTCAACATTCATAACCAGATTAATTTATTCAAATTGTTGTTGCCTTCAGGTCTCCCAGTGGGCTTTCATGGCCAAGCAGGGAATTGAACCCTGATCTCCAGAGTGGGCGTCCAGTGCTCAAACTATTATGCCACATTGGCTTTTAATTAATTTATTTGTGTGTGTGTGTGTGTGTGTGTGTGTGTGTGCGTGCATGTGCATGTGTATGTTCTGCATCTTTTTTTTGTTCTTCTCCCCGAATAAATTGTGTTAAGATATTTACTTGTGGAAACCAAATTCTTGCAAATTTGAAATAAATCATTGATAATATTCTTTAATTACAGTTTTGTAAGGTAAAAAAAATAGGAATGTTTCCTTTCCCCCCAGATTCATAATGATAAAGCAAGTAACCTTCAGAAAACCTGTCAACTGTTGCATTTATTTTTCTTTTAAAAAGTCTTACACCAATATCTCTCCCAACCCTTGATGCTGTCATGGAGGGAAATCAGTTCTGCCATGGGGAAGGCTGGTGCCACTGTTTCCAGATGTGGCTGAGCAGCAGCTTGGCTACAGACCTGAAAAGTAGCCTTGTGAAGGCTGGATTTCCCAACTCTCATGAGACTTCAGACTGATTTTGTGATGAGATATCAGGCCAAGTGTGGTGTTGAGCTCAAGACGTCATGAAACTTTGGAAAATTTTGGTGGTCCTATGGAGAAGAGTTAAAACCAGGTGTAATACAAAATTTAAAAGCAATGAAATAAACATTAAAATAATAATTAATAAGCATTAATTTATAACAATTCAAAAAGCAGTTAAAATATAATACGGATGATAAAAAAATACAGCACTTTCATAGTCCTTCTAAAGTATCCAGTTAACAGTCCTAGGTATGTGAAAAGATCTTTGCCTGCCAGCAGAAGGCAACCTAGCCTAACAAGGGAAGGAATTCTACAGTTTAGGAGCAGCCGTTGAGAAGGCTGTCCCCTGTGTATTCACCAAAGGTGACATTAATGATATTTAGTGTGAGAGAAAGCCTTTTCCTAAAGAGGAAAGTAGAAAGTATAAACTTTGCTCCATAGGTTTTGTCATGCCACATTGCTCAGCTTAAAAAAAAGGGAAAGTTGTTGTTGTGTACTTTCAAGTTGTTTCTGACTTATGGTGACCCTAAGGAAAATCTATCATGGGGTTTTCTTGGCAGGTTTCTTAAAGGGGTTTTCCATTGCCTTCCCCTAAGGCTGAGAGTGTGTGACTTGTCCAAGGTCACCTGGTGGGTTTCATGGCCAAACTGGAAATTGAACCCTAGTCTCCAGAGTCATAGTCCAACACTCAAACCACATGCTTAAAAGTCAGCCAGACTTTTTTTATTACCTTTTCTCATGTTAGTAGACATTCTAGTGGTTGTCACACAGACTTTATTTTTTAGTTTTATCATGGAAGCTAGTATAGTATAGTAAGATTCTGAAATACTATACATTTCAAAGATCTGGCCCCTAATGACAGAAGAATTGTGTGGGAGATAGATCACTGAGAATTGTCATTCTCACATATTGTGTCCAAAAGAGTGGATAGAACTATAAATAACTAATCTTGTCTCATGTGCCCAACCACGGTTGCAATAAATACCATCCTTTAACCACAAGGTGTCATTAAACTTTCCTCTTCATTTCTAAGATAATGTCTGGATTGCTCTTCAAACAATCATGAGGGCATAAGAACAGTTTCTTCCCATGCTTGCCCTATAGTACAGCCAGACAAAAGAACCTGGTACAGATATGATATGTCTCTGTTTAGTGGGAACATGTGGGTTGTTTATAGCAGTATAGGAATGTCTGTTTCCACCGATGAATCAGCTGTCACCACGGAATGGAAGGCACTCCTTGATATGGTATTTGGGTGAGTCATTTCCTTGCAATAACAGTGTTTTGACTTTAATACATGGACATTTATCTGAAACTGTCATTAGAAAGGCCATGTGATATGAACTGTTCTTCCTACTGTACTCTCTTTAGGCCATCCTAATGTAATGAAAACTTTTCAATCACTGTTAATGAACTGTTATATTTTGCTAGTCACATTGCCATAATTTTTATTAATTTATTTCTTATTAATGCTTTTCAAATCTATATCAATAATTAATATTGTCTTTTATCTGCACATCTGTAATTTGCCCACCAATGTGATTAATCTCTTTCATTCTGCCTATGTGCTGATCCACTCAAGAATGAAGTGGAATGTCTTAATTCATTACGGATTTTAAGGGTAATATTTACAATTGTAAAAAGAAGAGAAATTCTTTCTCGGTTTTCTTTCGTTTTTTCTGTTCACATTGACAGTTTGCTTCACTGTACATGCTGTTAGAAAATGGAAATTTTATTTATTTATTTAGTGCTGTCAGTGTAATCTTTTTTAATGTTTAGAAATGTTTTATCATTTATATAGTAATTTGTGTAATTTAAAGGGGAAAGTGAGAATGGAAATAAAACTACTGACAAGACAACTATGGATGAGCCTTCCTTTATTCCCTATTTTCAAGAAGATGAGGGAACATTTTTAAAAAAATCACTGTAAATGATCAGCCTTGACCGCCATGTGAATGATCTGAGCTTAAATAGCTTCTGCTTTGAATTTGATGAATGATTGCAAAGGGAAAGGTCAGATATATAGCAAGGATAGTAGGAAGATAGTCAAGCATATATAGGAGTTCATAGCTAAAAGTATTATATAAATTTTTCAGAAGTAAATTTGGCCAGAATTCTTCTTGAGAACAAGAGTGGGATTCATGCAGCCCTTCAGATGTTGTTGGAATGCAGCTCCCAAAATCCTACACAATTTGTTAGGCTGGCTAAGACTATAAGGAGTCACAGCCCAGTAACATTGGGAGAGCCTCAGGTTTCTCAACCCTCTTTTAGGTTATTTTCTCATATTATCACCTGCTAACCTGTTAAGTGACCCAGTCCTCAAACTGGAACTCTCTTATTGAAGAGCTGTCAAGTTGGTCTTTCTGCTATTGCAGCACCAGATTTCACCTGCATCAGATGCAGTGGAGTAAATGGGCAGTGATGAGATGGGATATCAAATATGCCAAATTACTCCTTCTAAGAAGATTCCTATTAAAAAGCAGCCATTCCCTGTTGCTAAGCCAGCTGTGCTTCCTTTGCTTGCATAATCTGATAACATTTTACATTGTTTGAAGATCTTGCTTTCACAACTAACTCTTAAAAAAAAAACCTGCGAGAACATATGCTCTGTTTAGTCCCCTAGTGGCTGAATGTCTTTCACTTGAGCAAACACCTTTTACCACTTGTTGTTGTTGTTGTTGTTGTTAACTGGCCTCAAGTCTACCTTGACTGATGGTAAACCTGTGGATGAGATGTCTCCAAGAGTGCCTGTTTTCTACTGCTCTGCTTAAGTTTTACAGATTCATGCCCATGATCTCCCTAATTGCATCTAGCTATCTGGCATGAGGTCTTCCTCTCTTTCTCCTACTCTGAACTTTTCCCAGCATCATTGTCTTTTCTAATGAGTTGTGACTTCTCATGAAGTGGCCAAAGTATGACAGCCTCAATTTGATTTATCTTGGCTTCTGAGGGTATTTCATGCTTGATCTGTTCAAGGATCCAAATGTTTGTTTGTTGGCTGTCTGTGGTATCCTCAGTACTCTTCTCCAGCACTACACCTCAAATGATTTTATTTTATTTTTATCTGCTTTTCTCACTGTTCAGTTCTCACATCCATACATAGTGATAGGGAACACTATGGCTTGGATGATTCTAACTTTAGTGCTCTTTTGTATAACTACTCTAAGATCTTTTTTAGCTCTTTCATGTCTGCCTTTCCCAATCTTGGTCTTCTCCTTGCGGCTGTACAGACAGGCAAAAAGAGGTGCTTTCAGGCTGACTTGGAGGCATGGCGTTTAGATGACACACGCCTAAAAGCTGGCAGGAAAGCGGCCTCTAGGTGCCATATACTGGAAAAAGCTGCTCCAAAAAGGAGTAGCCTTTTCCCGCTTCTTCTGGAAATATGTGCACCTTCACATGTGTGTAGGTATGCAGTGACACCAGGCCATCAGAAAAAGGACACTGGAGATTTAATATAAATGTACCGCTGTATGTGCGATGGAAATTGAGTCGGCAAACCAGAGCATGTGCCCTACAATGGAGGCTTTAATTTAAAGTGTCCTATGCTTCCAGGTGTGAATGCACTACTGCAGGTGCACTTGAATATTAGAATCCTAACCCCAACTGTAAACCTATGCATGTGCCTTAGCAACTCTTCTCTACTATGACAATAAATGCATTCTGTTGCATGTATGCTTGCTGTCAGCATGCACAGTAGCTTGCATGAAAGAGGCTTTTGTGATCTCTTCTGCGAAGGTGTGCAGGTGTGCATAAGACCTGCACACCATTTCCTGGCATGATGGGGGGGTGCTCCTGGAGTAACATTTGCCTGTGTGTCCTGTTGACCATGTTCCTTGCATGACCAGCTGTATGTATCCAGTCTGTCCATACAAACCTCCTTCCATGTACCTCTCCCCTCCCCCCTGATCTGTTGGGACAGGTTTTGTGGAGGATGATTGAGTAGGTGTCAAACTCGTTCCTCCACCCCAAGGGTGGCACAATCAGACAGTGGCACCTGTCTATGGCATCCACTACTTGGGGGAAGCTGAGATCAGTGAATCCTTGCATGATCTGTGGGTGTATGACAGGTCCTACACAGGTGCGCAGGGGTGCTGAACATCAGTCACCTTTGTAGAGACAAAATGACAGACTGTGTGCCACCCTATGACATGTTCTGTGCAGGTTCACAAGGATGCCAAACTTCAGTCATCTTTGTACACAGAGAGTGCCAGATTGTATACCAGCCTTTGACTGTTCTGTGCAAGTGTGCAGGTGTGCAGGGATGTAATGCATCTGAGAGAATGGGAAAAAAGTTAAAGCAGCCACTACCAGCCCATGGGGTTGCTCCATCTCCCTTCGTGGCATCCTTTGGGCCAGCGATGTGGTTGGCAGGGCTTCAACATGTCCTCAGAAAAGCCACATTGATTACTCTCCAGTGCAGTTCCTCCATCCCCATTTAGGACATCCTCAGGGCAGGTGGTGCAGTTGCTGTGGCTTAGAGAAAAGGCAGCTTCATGTCACCTTTTCCTGCCTTTATGTATAG